CATTTTTCTTTAATTAATTCATCACAATTAAAAATAAATTATAATTTAATTAAATATTTAATTGAAGCATAATTAACATGTCTTAATCTACCATGCCATACGCTACATGAAGTTACAATATAAGCATAAGACTTATTAACAAGATCAAATTTGAACATCCCATCACATGAGTATCACTTGCCAACAAATACACTATTTTTTTGTGGCATTATGTTTTTGGTCCTTATAATTTTCATTATGGACTTTAGAAAAGAAAGACTTCTTATTATATTGAGCATTTGATTTTTCCTCAACAATGTTTGCCTTAGAGTAAAAATTAATTAATTCATCTTTCTTTTCCCTAAGACTATTCTCTTCTTCAACTTGATGTCTTCTTTGGGTGCTCTCTCCAAGATGGGGGTAACTTATGAATTATAGATCCTACTAAAAAAATTTCATTAAAAGAAATTTCACAATCTTTAAGTTCATTAACTACAAGCAGCAACTCATATACTTGAGATAGTATAGGCTTGTTTTCAATGAATTTAAAATCTAAAAAGTTAGAGATCATAAATATTTTGTTACTAAACTCTTTCGTGAGGTACTTGGTTTCAAGAAGTTTCCAAAGCTCTCTCGCAGTGCCAATGGAAGCATACATGTCATAGATCGGGTTCGCCAAGGTATTTAGAATATGACCCTTGCATATATAGTCATCCTCCATCCATCTCTTATATGATTGAGTTTGCTCATCGGTGGAGTCATTCGATGGTGGTGGTAGTGCAGGCATTGACTCAGTGACAATGTAAACCACTTTGAGAGTGGTAAGTAAAAAGAGAACATTTTGCTGTCATCTCTTGAAATTCAGCTTGTTGAAGCATTCGAGTCGATTAAAGTTGTGAGTGATGACCTTCAACGAAGTCATAAGAGTCTCTTTTCTTACCCATAAAATATTGTATTGAATTGTTGGAAAAAATTGGGTGAAATGGGGGCTGAAAATATTATAATTTGCAAAATTAGATCTCGAACTCTTCTTATTTTTTAACATGCAAGAGCGCTATCTCGAGATGATATTTACCTTCGATGTAGGATTTGTTGTGCATAAGAAGGGCAATTCATCTTCTGGATACAGGAAAACAAAGAGATCTTTTATTTTATTCCTAAGCTCTATGCACCCAAGCTTAGAACCCACACAATAGACACCAGATTCTTGTTGTATTAGATAGAAAAAGAGACAAAATCGAGTACTGAGAGAGAGAGAGAGAGAGAGAGAGAGAGAGAGAGAGAGAGAGAGAGAGAGAGAGAGAGAGAGAGAGAGAGAGAGAGAGAGAGAGAGAGAGAGAGAGAGAGAGAGAGAGAGAGAGAGTAGAGTAGTAGAGAGAGTAACGTAAGTAGTAGTAAGTAAGTAAGTAAGTAGTAA